CGCCCACTCATAGTGACCCTACAGGACAGGGTCGAACTGCCCCCGTGGGTTTCTGAGACTATAACTCTTTATAGGAGTAGAGAGCCTCGTCTTTCTCCTGTGCAGCGACGGGTTTCGAACTGCTGACCTACCAGTTAGCAGCCCAGCTCATCACCACTACACCACCAGGTGTTGCCCTTAAGGCTCCGATTCCAAAACGGCCCTTTGCTTTGCTCGCTCAGATGGATACAAGTGATGAGAGGGACAGTTTTACCCAGAAAGCACGGGTGTTGCAGCAGGACTTAGACCCTTACTATGTGTGCTGAAACACTCGGAACACAATATGGGAGATGTTCAACTTTTCCTAGGAGCTCAATGTGGTTTTTTGCTTGTTTGTATTTGAAGGAACACACTAATTCCAGTATAAAAAGTGTCAGCAATCATCTCCCTATGTCTTTTGTCTTATCCCAGGTCTATTTGACCTGGCCTGTGCCAAACTGTGCCGAGGGTTGCCCTGGTTCCTGGATTAAAGATGGCTACTGTGACAAGGCTTGTAATAACTCGGCCTGTGATTGGGATGGCGGCGATTGCTCTGGTAAGCCCGCGTCAGGCTGTCATTTGTCCATGTGTACAGAATGTCTTCATTCGTAGTCCTTACTGATAACGGACGACTAGACATGATGAACCATTCTTCATGTATTGAAACGATCAGCCATGGATTCATAAACTCTTTACGGGGTTGACATGCGGCCCAGTTAGTCCTATTGCATCTGAATGAGAGAATTTTTTCCTAGCCTGGCCCTCCATTGAAAATGCTTCCTCTGATTATTTTTAAAATAATGAAAATCGGCAAGAGCCCCTGATTATGGAAGCTCACAAGCAAGCCCTAGCTGATGGGTACAGGAGTTTGTACTGGTGGCTTCCAGCAGCACACTGGAAGGTTGGTGGAAGACTGAAGGGAGCAGGAGGTGTGTGTGTGTGGGATGGGCTGGGGGAGTTAAACATCCTTTCTCCCAGCATTGCTTGTCCCCTTCTCACGTGCTTCTATTTGGATTCACTGAAGTAACTTTTACATTTATTTACTGCCCTTAAACTTAAAAAGTTACTTTCATGCACAGAAGCCATTGTTGATCGCCAAGTCGATGGCACCTAACACCCACAACAGCCATTGTTATTGTTGGTGTTCCAGCCACGGCGACCTTATACACACCCGAACGAACGAAGCACCGCCCTGCCC